CTCGGCAGCTGCCGCTCCTTTGGGAAAGGTGAAGATTTATAAAGGCGATTTCAGGCTGCCTTTGTTTTTTTCTCCTCCTCTCTCTCAATTTTTTAAGCCAGCGAGCCACTGCCTTGCATCTTTCCTTGTGTTGAGGTTGTTGGATGAGCTGAAAAACTGCGTCCCTGCGGCATATAAATAGCCTTTCTCAACTCCGGTCATGTTGTCTGGGCGGCACTTTGCGGCAGTATCGTGCAGAGACGATTAAGTTGCTTTTTCCAGTCTTGGTGATCAGTAACAGTTGCATTAATATTTGCACAAATTTTCCCTGTGTAAAATCAGATCTTTTATCTTTAAGATCATACAACATTGAACTCTTTGTTTTGGAGCTATTTTGAGGGGCTGATTTAATTTTTATTTTGGTTAGATGTGTATTTTGGATAACTTTGCGTAACATTTTGTTCCTAGTTAGCGCATCCTTTCCAGATCCTGAAACAAGCTCAAAAATTTCCTCTGCTTTTCCTGTGGACATGGGAAATGTCTCTTCGTTCTTTTGCAAATTTAAATCGTGAGTTTCCCCAAGTAAATCCAGCTCCATGAGTCAGGTTTTCAAATGCTGAAACGGAAACAGGCTGGAAACCTGTAACTGAGCACGATTGTGAGGCTAATTGGAGGCCTTAATTGGAAAAGCTCTCTGAGCATCACAGCTGCTCAGAAACTGCTCAAAGGATTTATGCTGTCTTCTGAACATGATTTTTGCCTTGGCGTGTGTCTGCCTGGAGTGAAAATAGTGTATTATTAGTTTAATCCTGAATGAGAACATCTGTTTTTACAAGAGATGTGGCAGTTTAGTAAGTCAAGTCAAATTTTAGTTCAAAAACTTATGCATGTTCTGTGTATTGTAAATATTTATAAGGTGGTCACAATCATGCTGGTTTTATTTATATATTGCAATTCTGTTTCCCAAATAATAAAACAAATTTATGATATTTATACAAGCAACATCTTTCGTAAAGATCAGCCTGGGACTGTAGAGCACACATGTGCTCCAAATAACCATATTTAATGGAAAAACCACAGCAAAGTGAGTGAACTGCCGGATAATTTTATATCTGAAGGAAGGACGGTCATACTTAATAGCAGCACCAATGCAGATGTTCGTGTTGCTTACGGACTGAATTAAAAATACCACCTCAGAAATGAAGAGATTTCAAGGATTTGTTTAAAGTAAAATTTGTATGCCTTGCTAAAATCTGCCTTAATGCAGTCAAGACAGATTGGCAAGAGTCTGAGCATTTCTTTGCATTACTGTACAGTATTCTCTATGTGTAAGGTTTTTACTACCTGTTAGTTAATAAAACAGAGCAGGAATAAGTTCATTTTTAAGCATCACACTAGTGGTGGACTTCTTAAACAAATAGGTTAAACTCCATGGTAGCAGTGGCCCCAGGTTCTTGCAGTGTGATGTCATAAACATGAGGAAATTAATCAATAGAAAAATTTACTTTTTTGTTGTTGGTTTTTTGAGTGAGGTTTTCCGGGTTGTACTGTGCTTGTCCGTATTAGTGAAATACTGATTAGGTGTGTGTGGAAATCACAGCTGTGGTGGGGGATACTGCTGCTGTGCTGTGAATTCTCTTTCCGAACATGCAACACTGTATGCTGATTTAGTTTTCTGTCTGTTATTGAGCCCATAAATCAATCCTATATTATGTTATTCCCTTGGGTTTTATTGGCTGTCCTCTCATGTTTTCTCTGTCACTGCAACTCAAAACTTGTGAGAATGTTATGCCTCCAGAAGAACCTATGGGACGTATGCAATTAAGGGTTTATTGTGGAGAGTTTTTTTCACCCCCTTTATTATGTGTGATTAGATTACATGGTCCCTTTCTAACCCTCAAACCTCGGTAATTAAATTTCGGACTTAGCAGATACTAAACATAACATAAAATCTTTCACAAGGATCCATCTCATCTGACAGTGGCCAAAATGAATCCCTAGGGAACAGCCTCTGGAAGAAGGGTGCAGTGAACCCTTTTCGGACTCTAACAGGCATCCTGTAGTCAACCTGAACTAATGGTGGCATATTGGGATTTTTCATGTACATGTTTGTCCAATTGTTTTTGTAACCCATGTGAACTGCATGAGTTACAGCAGTAGTCTCCTGTGATTCCCAATTACTTGTTACTCTAGTAACAAACTTGCATACAAAAGTGTGTCTTGCTTCCTTATCTTAACTACAGACTACTT